ACTGTCCTCCTCGAGTCCGTCACTGGATGGCGGACAGACGGACACTGTCCTCCTCGAGTCCGTCACTGGACAGACGGACACTGTCCCTCGGTGCGGTAGATGGCGGCAGACGGGCCCGTCGAGTGCGGCGGGACGCAGCGGTCTGATGGCGGAGCTGTGGGAACCGGACACTGGTCGGCCCAGAGCACCCGCCGCGCTCGGGCAGAAGTGCCACCTTCTGCGTCTTCCGCGGCGGGGCGGGATAAGCAGACGCCAAGCTGGGAGGGACTGCGTCCCACAGGGCGTCCCACTTCGAGGCCTGGACAAGCAGCTTGGCGAGCTCGCGCTGCTGCGGGAACGTGAGTCCTCCAGTCGTTCAGCTAGTGCGATCCCCAACCGTCCGCGACCGCGACCACAAACTCTGGATGGTTGAGTTTGGGGTCGAGGCGCCGGGTGAGGGAGCCTGGCGGGAAGGCTGCGGTAAAGAATTCGCGCCAGATGTCGGGTTGCCCAACGCGTGTCCGGACGTTAGGGGGGCGCGCCAGGTCCTGCGGCGGGAAGGCAGTGGCGGGGTCGTAGCCACGGGGACAGCTGGCCAGTGGAACCGCCATGACGGCAGGGTGAGACTTCTGGGTTTTTAACTCGCACGCACACTGCAGAAACTGGGTGAGAAACTCGCTGGGACAACGCGAGGGATCGGTCTGTTTCAACTGCTGCCGCTTCAGAGAGTCCCGCCACATGGCGGTATGCAAGTGGCCCAGCTGGATGTTGTGCTCAGAACGTGACTACATACCAGACCACCCCAACCCAACCCGAAGACCCGAATTTCGGGTTGGGGGGGTATGGGCTCCATATGTGTTTTTTCGATGTTCCCGGCCCCCCCCCCACTGGAAATCGAGGGTAAAGCTGAGCCTTCGGGGTGGGTTGGGGTGGTTTGGTGGGTGGTGAGAACGAGGTCCTCGTCGTGCTGTGAGACATGTGAGAGAGAAGTCGGCCATGGGCGAGCCGGCGAGGCGGCCGACGGGGTTCGAGGGCCCGGCGAGGGCGTCCGGGAGCGGGCCTGCGACCGCGGGCGCCAAGCACGCGAGCCCGGATCGCCTCGAGGGGCATCTGGGCTGGTGGAGCGCTGCCGCGGCTCGGCGGCTGGCGCCGCCTCGCCAGCTTTGGCTAGGAAGGCACCAACTATACACCAACACCGATCCTGGCCAGGATCACCCTGGGCCCAGGATCGGTGTATACGCCCTCCTGCCTTGCGCAAGAAGGCATATACACCGATCCTGGGCCCAGGGTGATCCTGGCCAGGATCGGTGTTGGTGTATAGTTGGTGCCCTCCGATTGGCGCCTGCCAGGGCCCCAGTGCACTGCCTTCGCCCAGGCCTGGGTGGGGACCGCGACCGCTGGTCGCGTGGGGACCAGGGGGGGATCCACCCTGGGGCCCTCGCCGGAGGGAGGGTCCACTCCAGCAGAGTTGACCTGGAGGGTGTGCGCTGCAGGGCGCAGCTGGAGGCTGGCCGCCAGCAGAACCTCTGAGAAGTCGAGGAGGACGGCCTCGCCCCAGTAGGGCACGGCACCGACCTCGCGGCGCAACTCCGGTTGGTGCTGAGCCATGCAGGCGACCCAGCGCACGCGCAAAGAGCGCCTTCGGTTGCCGCGACCCAGCCTTCCGTCCGCCCTGAAGTGAAGCTGGCCCGGCACGAGGAGCTGCAGGCCCCGGCCCCCAGGAGCGCGCAGCTCGTCCATGGCGACGAGGAGCGGCACGAGCGGGACGAGGTCAGGGACAGAAACCTCGACTTCGGGCGCTGCAGCGCCCTCGGGAGAGCGGAGGCGGTGGGCATCACAGCAACCTTCACCAGAGCTGAACTCGTAGCCGGACTTGCCAGGGGGGCCCCGCCAGCGCCTGGGGGACCGCCACCGCCAGCGCCCAGGAGCGATCCACGGGCGCTGGTGAGTGGCGCCTCCACTCGTTCGCCCTCGCGGGCGTCGGAGTCGCCGCCAAGCTTGTCGTCAGGGTTGCCGGGGGGGGGCTTACAGCCACCAGCAGGCGCTGCTTGCCCAGAGGGGCGAGGATCTACGGAGGCAGAGGCGCCTGCGGCGGGAGCAGGCGGGGGGCGCCTTGCCCTGAGGGGTGGGGCGCCTACGGAGGGAAACCTTCCTGATGGGGGGGGCACCTCGCGAGGAAAACGCGGCTTCCGTCCAGGCTATGGGGATCCGGGTGGAGGCGAGCTGGGACAAGCCTAGCTCGCCCCATCGCTTCGCCAAAATCGGGAGAGATGGCCATGACCCCAGGGGCTGGGCTTGGTCCGGGTCGCCCCAGTCAGCGCAGGCCAATGGCGTTTAGCGTAGGCCTCCCATTCCACATTCACGTATAGGTGGCGATGACCGCAGTCGCGATGCCCACGGGGCGTAGGGCGGGCAGGGGCTTGAGGGCTGCCTGTAGCCGAAGGTAATTGTTCACGTGGACGACGGGAACGTCGACGGCTTCTGCCTTGACGGACGGCTCGGGTCTGGTCGCAACCTGGGCGGCGGACGAGCCGGAGCGAGCGGAGGAGGAGGCAGGGGGCGGATCCTCCC